CTATTGTGTGTAGACTTCTATTTATAAAATTCTAGTATTTTGTAAAATGATATTTTATTGACAATTTCAAACATGGACCGTAACTTTGTTTTGAAAAAATCTATAGAAAATAAATTGTTTCCTACTTTTTATTGCATATAAATTTTCCTACCAATTAAAAATATGATACGTGTCACAATTCAATATTTACTTAACTATCTCATTAAGAATATCTATTCTAATAAATGAAAGTTTTTTCTATCACATGTCACAGTCTCATTCAATTTACCAAATATCATTTTATGATTATTTTAAATTAATTTCTTTTCCACATATCATTTTATGAGTTTTTCTATTTTAATAAATTCTACAGAATACTTTAATTTAATAATTAGTAATAAATAAATATCAATATCATTAATGGACTTACCTTTTTAATTCAAAATTCTCAAATTAAAGTTCATTAGTTTATTTTGTTTATTTATTCAAATTTAAGAGATCAAAAAATCAATTTTAAAAATTTATTATTTTTCTTATTTTCTTATAAATCAAAAGTTCTTAAATATTTAGATATTTATATTTAGTTTTTTTAATTAACCCATGTAATACATAGGTCCTACACCTAGTATTAGGAATCTATATCTATATATATATATATATATATATATATATATATATATATATATATATATATATATATATATATCTTATAAACCTAGCATTTTTCCTTAAACCTCATGAATTTGAAACTCCCATGCATTTTTTTTTCTTTCACCACGTTTATTTGGAACTCTCGTGACTTTTCAATTCATTTCTAATAATAATTATAATTGGTTAATAAGGTTAAATAAATATCAAACCTAAAGTGTAATCATATATATACTAAGTTTCAATATTAAAATAATATTTTTACTTCTACTTATAAAGTTATGTTTTTTAACTTTTAACATATTATACTTAATTTATTAGTTTTAATATATTGCTGGATGTAAATCATTATCATTTTAAAGATATAATTTTGGAACAATTTGTATAAAATACTTAAATTATTCATTTAAGTATAACATTATAGTGTCAACTTAAATATAAATTTTAGTTTACCTTAAAAAACCAAAAAATATTTTGTAAATAGTTAGAAGTGATAAAATGTAATGTCTTTCTAATAATGATTATACGTTGGTTATCAAAGTTAAAGATATATCAAACCTAAAGTATAATCATAAATAAACTAAATTTCAATTTAAAAAAAAATATATTTATTTCTACTTATAAAGTTATATCTTTAACTTTTAACATATTATACTTAATTTATTAGATTTAAAATGTTGTTGTATGTCAACCATCACCAGTTTAAAGCTACAACTTTTGAACAGTTTGTACAAAAATAATTAAATTGTTAATTTAAATATAACATTATAGTTTCAACATAAATATAAATTTCATATCCACTTGAAAAAACCAAAGAATATTTTGTAAATAGTTAAAAGTGATAAATGCAAAAACTAAATTGTAATCTCAATTTAACTAAAATATTTCCTAAATATATTTTTATAATCGTTACAAGTTTTAAAATAAGTAGCTTAAAATAACTTATAGTAACAATAGTTAAAAATAACTTTATATAAATGATTATATTGTTACATTTAAAATAAAAAAAACAATTTTTGATGTTTTAAATAATTATAATCATAGAAATTAAAATATGAAGCAAATAAATTTTAAAAAATTAATTAACAATAATAGCAACTATAAATAACATTAAACCATATATTATATTTAACTTTATTCACGTGTAATTTGCGGGTAGAAGTCATTCAAACTATTGAGATAATGCAATTATAATAAATGTATATATATATTATTATATAATTCAAAATAATCAATATATTATATCAATTTAGTATACGAATTATAATATCAAAATTAGCAACAACATTGTTTTTATATTTTAAAAAAACATATATTTGTGAAGACTTCAACTATATAGGTGTTTTTCGTGTAATGTGCGGACATTCACCTAGTATATCAAATAAATTTAAATTGAATGGTGGAATGATGACACGTGTCATAATATTAGTGTGTAAGAATATTTGTAGACATAAAAAGCACGAGATAATATAATTTCTCAAAAATTTAACATTTGCTCTTATGGCATTCTCTTTCTAAAATTGCCATCTATAACATTCTACTTTAAAAAATGTTTTACTAAGGATTGGGAACATGAACCAGAAACAAAAATGTAAAACATTTTCTTTTATGCATTCTATTTTCTGAAAGTTGTCATCTTCAACACTCTATTATATAAACAATAATAATCAGGGAGAACATTCGACGTTTTTCTATATATATGTATTATTTCTGGTTTTTTTTTAAACCAATGAACATTTGTGCATTTGGTTTTTAAAGGGACCATTTCTGCATGTGTTACAATTTATATTTTATGTGTATATGTACGTATCAATGTCCTTTTACTCTATTTCATGTTATTTTAATATTTTAACTAGCATCACTTCTAAGAAAATTAAATTAATTTTATTTAAATTTAATTTTTGTTTCTTTTTTATGAATTGTACTTTCAAGAAGTACAATTTTTTAATTTATATATGTATGTTTGTTGTCTATGTATTTTTTTGAAACAGCTAGGCACATATATATAAAGAACAAAACTCTAGCAAAACATTAGATAAATATAAAAAGAGGTTACAACTTGTTGAGAGGAAATTGCAGCCAACAATTCCAATTCACAAAAAATATTCTAAATCTGTTGTTAATCCAAAGAAAAGAAAATTTTTGTAATCGAATCAAATATAATATATTTCCTTATCTTACCATCTTAATAAAACATGTTATTAGGCCATATGTATGTTTGTTATCTGTGTATGTATGTTTATTTATTGCATTTTGTTACTTTGTATGTTTGTGTGTGTATCGAAGGAATATTCTCATATTAGGTCATCTGCAATAGAGACCACGAATTGGGTCATGGTCCACATGGCCACGATCATGCTTCCTGCACACCAACCCCAACCCGGACCTTCGTGGTGGGGTGTGGTCGTGTTGTAAGGTGGTGCTAACTACGAACTATAATGGCCAGTCAAACTTAAATACTCTTTGACCGTCTTGACTGTTCTTTCTAACGAATATTTTGTGTTTTCTTAATTTTTTTTATTTAATTTTTATTTATATAAATACCACTACAAACCTCCTTATAAATCATACAATTCTTCTCTCGTGTTATTCATATTCACACAATGGTGTTGCTCTACCATTCAAAAATCATGGCTCCTAAAATGATAAATTGCTCAGAAAGAAGAGAAGTTAGCACAAACATGGGTGTCGGTTTCAGAAGAAGGAGATAGTCAAAGCTCTAGAGATTTTTGGGGGAAGTTTGAAGCGTTTTTTATGGTTTAATGGATTCTAAAATCGAAATCTCAATTAAATATGTTCGAAGTGGCACGATATGGGGGTAAAATGTTGCGAGTTCAATGGAATTTACAACTTTGTTATCAACTATATACACGAACGCGGTATCCCTAGATAACTATGAAAACACAACCCATAAACCTTTTACATATCTCAAAGCATGACTAAAGTTGAATAATTCTCCAAAAAAGCAAAACATTGTTTTAAAAAAATATGTTTAAGGGTATACTTGTTTGTGTTTGAAATTTTTATGTTTTAATTTATTTTAGTTTAAATTGTCGTTATTTTAAATTAATGTAATGCCTTTTTTATTAATTGGAAACTGGTTTTTTAAAATTTGTTTTTGTTGTATTTATGAATTAAATTTAATTAAAAAAATAATATGGAGTGGTGTGTTAGTGACATGTATCTTATGATTTTAGTGGTAGGATTTGATGATGAGGTGTCACCCACTATTATAATGGTTAGTAGAGAGTATTATAATGGTTAGTAGAGAGTATTACGAATTATCTTATTGAAAAAATAACCATGAAAGCAAGGATGATAAAATAAAAAACTAGATGGAAGCATTTTTCTATTTCCTATAACAATTAATGATATTTTACAAAAACAAGATGCAAAAAAATATTCATAATATTGTGATATTTTACAAAAACAAGATGCAAAAAATATTATTTTTCTTGGATTATAGAAAAATACATTGAAAAAAAATATTATATTTTAGAAATTTAACAGCTTTACCACTTTATTTTTTTCAAACAAATCAAAAAAGTTTTAGATATTTTCCCAAATTAACCATATTCACCCTATTATGACCTTTTACTAAAGTAAGATGCAAGAAATATTATTTTTCTTAGACTATAGAAAAGTACATTGGAAAAAATACTATGTTTTAGGGAGAATGAAATTGTTGTATATTGGGAAGGAGATATTGTTAGTACCTCCACGATGTGATTCACTCACCAAGGCTCGTGGGGTGAAATGTGAGTTCACCAAGCGACTAGATTCTCTCCTTCTCTATTACCTATATGTATTGATTAGTTGTATCCCATGTTTTATAATTTGTACCAATATATTTTTAATTAATTTGTGAATTAATTTTGTATATTTCTCAATATTTTGAATTAGTTTTGAATGATATTTATTAGTTTATGTTTATTTTAAAAGGAAAAATTGAGTGAGTTGAGTAGGTTGCAAAAGATGAGTTTACATGTGTTTTAGGTTGGGAAAGATGTAAGAGAGAGGAGAGAGAAAAGATGATGTGGTAGTGTGTTGAGTAGATTGGGATGGAAGTGTTCATACTAACCACTTTATTTTTTATTAGTTTTAAATTCTTTGCATGGAAGACATGATGGTTTTAGGTAGAATGATATTATGGTTCTTATGAGAGGAGTTTGGTACTCAATTATCGGTACTATCGGTCAACTTCATGACATCAGAATAATATTGATGGATACTATTATTTGAAAAGTTGGTAATGGAATGAGTACCTCTTTTTAGAAAGATTTTGTGGATTGGTGATAGTCCTTTGATGGTGCAATTTCCTAGACCGTTTAGATTAGAGATTCATAAAGATTGTTGAATTAATCAAAGATGGAATGAGGTTTAATGGAATTGGAATTGGTCTCTCCCAGATCGGGGGAGGGGGTTACTTTGTTTACGATTTTGCAGTAATTGAAGACCCTTATTTGTCAGTTCGTTTTTTTTCGGATTATAAAGATAAGTGGGTGTGGGATGTTGGTGGTTCTAATGAGTTCGTTGCTTCAGAGGCCCGTAGATTCATTGATGATATTTCTTTCACGGATGGTTATCGTTGTACCAAATGGAATAAATATGTACATCATAAAGTAATTATATTTTATTGGAGATGTCCTATAAATAGGTTGCAAACTCGTATGAAATTTATTGATAAAGGTGTAGATGTCCCCTCCGTGATTTGTCTTATTTGTAATGTTGATATGGAAGATATCTTTTATCTTTTCATTTGGTATGAAGTAGCTGATAATCTTTGGACGTTTTGTTGGGAGATGGTGTGATGTTTCTATTCCTTATTTTGCAGAAATTGAAGATGTGGCATGGTGGATCAATTCTCTTTGTTTGTTGGTTATTAATAAAAGCGCAGTGGAAGCAATTGTGATGATCATGCGGTGGTTGCTTTGGAATTTTAGGAATTGTATTATTTTTAGTGAATAAAATATGAAAACGAGTGTGTTGATTGATAGTTTGATCAATTACTCCTGTAACTAGTTTGATTTTAGAAATAAGAAGCTTTCTATTAGTTGGATTGCATGGTTTTGAAACCCGATTCTTTTCATTCCTAAGTAATTATGTGTTACCTTTTTGTTAACATTTTCTAATAAAATATTAAGCTATTAAAAAAAATCATAAAACTTTCAAATATTTTCAAAAATTAACCATATTCACAGTATTGTGACATTTTAATAAAACATGATTCAAGAAATATTATTTTCCTTGGACTACAAAAATGTATTGGACAATGGTCCTTATGGTATGCATGTTTTGTGGAAAAATGTCCAAACCACAAAAGTTTTGAATTGGTAGTCATTTTCAGCCAACTAGCCTGTGGTTTTGGTCCCTCAAAAAATTGAAAAGAAAAATAAAATGACCACCTTTTACATTTTTTTATGTTTTTTTATTTAATTTAAAGTTTTATGAAGAATAAATATAGGGCTCCCCCCCCCCCCCCTCCCCTCTATCTCACATCTCTCTCCAACGCGTAACAAATTTGAGATTTAATGAATCAACAATTTTCAGATCATCTTAAGGAACTAATCAATCTGGTGCCTTACGTATGAATTCTTCTAAATAAGTTTTTGCTCATCGATACATGTTCTCATGAAACTCGAATGGATTTCATTTTAGGTAATTAATAATGGAACTAAAGGTTCATTCCTAGAGAAAGTTTGCAAAATCAGCAAACCATTCTTCAGATTTTCAAAGGATCCGGTCAACTTAGTGGAGCCACCCCCAATTCTTATCGGACTGCCACCACCACCACCAGCAGCACCAGAGGAGTCGCCTCTCTCTCATAGATTTGGAACGTCGCCCTAATTTTTGGAACTATGTTGCCTTACTAAACTCCAACCCTAGGGTATATAGGTGTGTGACGGAGATGAACAGATCCGAGAAGTGTTTTTAGATCCATAAAATGGTGAGGGTTAGGCGTCAAATCTTGCAAAGGAGATACAGAGGCTTATTATGGTTTTTAGATCAAATGACAGAGAGAGAGAAGTTTTAGATGACTAGGGAAATGGAGAGGCTGAAATGCTTTTTAGGGGCAAACTCAAAGAACAACCCCAAAATTTTGTGTATGGTTTTTGTTTCTGGGATGAATTTTGGGCAAAGCTGAAATGGTATAAAAAATTTAGGTGGAGATAGAGGTAGCAGATGGTGGTGGTGTCGGACAGTAGTCGAATGGTAGTGCTGGAGGAATATGTTCTTAAGTTCATGAAGATGTTCTCGAGTGTGCTTCAGTTTATGATGATGTTCTTGAGTGTTTATGAAAGACAAACCCAAATGGAGAGAGAGAGAGAGAGAGAGAGAGAGAGAGAGGGTGGGTGGGTTCCTATATTTATTATTAATAAAACTTTAAATTAAATAAAAAAAACATAAAAAAAAATGTATCACGAGGCCATTTTAGTCTTTTCAGTTTTTTGAGGGACAAAAACCACATGCAAACTAGCTCAAAAGGACCAAATCTAAAACTTTTGTGGTTTTGACCATTTTCCGGAAAAAATACATACTCTAAGGACCATTTTTATAGTTTTGTCTATTATTTTTCTTGCACTATACTACTATAGAAAGGTACATTGATGTCGTTGTGTTTCGGCCTTAATTAAAATCAATTAATGACAATATTTAAAGTAAAATGCTACTAAACAAATCAAAAAAGACATGTAAACGTAATTATCTTACTTAAAACAACCAACTAAATTAGAATGTAAAAATTACATTTGATGATTTTATATTTAATAATTTGAATTTAATAAAATCAGATGAAGAGAAAAACGAAAATAAAGATGACAAATTGACAAGGTGATAATGTAAGCTTGTCCCATTTTATTGTTTTTAGTAACAAAGAAACAATTAGGATTTGTTGTCCCTTTGTATAATTTCTGTCACTAAATATAGAAAATTTATATTATTTTAAATTAATTACACTTTGGTTTGTCCTTTAATAAAAAGCATGATTAATACCCTCTAACCCTTATTGTCAGGTCCTCATAGATTAAGATGTCCATTACCTGTAACAGGTAATAAATGAAAGTACATCGCTATAGGTTATATGTTGCATTATATGATATGAGGTTTTGTTTTATTAATTAGAATGTGCTATAGCAAGTTCTTTTTCAACATGGGCACAAAAGTAAGATGCTATTTAACAAGTCCTAAGCCCTCTAGAGTAATCTCCACAGAGGACTTCATTGTCCAACTGACACGAACCATGAACACGAGCACCACCCCGACCATCCGTTGTTGGTCGTTGTCGTGGAGGATTGGTGTGAGGATGATGGACCACGACCAATCACATGTGAGGGACTTAATTTGACTTTTGAACTGTCAAAAATGTATATATTTTTTATTTTAAAAATTTTCCATATAAATACAACCTCCCACCACCATATTTTCAAACCATTCTTCTCTTTTATACTCTCTAAAATATCTCATAGATGGATTTTGTTTTTATAAATTTTGATTTAGATGATGATGAGATTTTATCTCAACATTCTTTAATGTTGTGTAACACATAGACGATGAAGAGTGTATAGATGTGACACATACAAAAACAATTTTCAATTGAGATCGACAAGCCGCACATGAGCTTTTGGTACATGATTATTTTGACCATAACTGACTTTATAATGATGGACCATTCGAACGTCATTTTTGTCTTAATAGGTTACTATTTTTTACGTATTTGTAATGCTTTAGAGGCATAATATGAATATTTGAAATAAAAACTGGATTCTAGATGTACAATGAGCTTTAATGCTATATAGAAATGTGTGGATATACTTAGTTATTTAGGATACATGTAACATTCCAAAAACCGTGACAAAAATTTTAATTTTTAAAAAATAATTCCAAAAAACCATAAGATAGTAATTCATTGTTTTCAACAGAAAAAAATAGAATCAGAGTACCAAAAATCCCTAAAAAACGTAATTGATTCGGACGACATGTACGATCACGCCTTTGTCGTGCCCTGATCATTTGATGTACCTGAAACCATGAAACCAACAAATGTAAGCCAAATCTTAGTGAGTTTACCCTAGAATACCACACATAACAATACATGTAATGCATGTACATTGGGCCCACATCATCATACCGAATTGCCCATAAGGCGATAACATGAGATTGGATTGCCCACCTCGACCCAAAGCTCATGACTGGCTTGTTCTCGTGCCAACAACATAAGACTAGAATATTGTCCTGGCCCTCAGCGTATGATTGGATTGCTCCCGGGCTTTTTGGCTTCGAGCACAAAGCAGTACCTCCTCAACCCAACTGTACTATGTCGACATATACAACAGATAAACGATAACTAGTTACTACATGTAATCTTATAGATCTACCAATCTAGAGATCACTACGACATAGAAACACCCTATACACAAGGAAACATAACACAATCTAGTGGATCAATATTGGTGCCTTCAACCCACCAGATACAGTGAGGAAAAACTCACCTCTCGATCTTGTAGATAACATTAATGAACCTGATCCGATAACCAGGTCTACATGTCATATCTTAAGCAAACAGGGACCAAATCTCAATCTACAGCTCAACATACTTAATTAGACCTAAAGTCAAACTTGGTCAAATTCAATGGTCAAAAAGTCAACATTCGGTCGCCACAATGTGGACAAGCATATGCCATGTCGTGGGGATAATAAGACAAAATGGTTACGAATCTGCCAAATGCCACGACGTTGCGGCTAACCCCCACGTTGTGGGAACCTTCCAGACCAGCCAAATCATTAAGATCTTAATCCTTCCCCCCTCCCCCCTAATTCAAACTTTCCAGTAAGCTACCAAACTCCCTATAGATCATAACAATTACATGTTTATAGACATGCATGTCGAGTGCATGTCGTGAGCTCAAGCTAGGTCAAAAAGTATATTAATGGGGCCAAGATCTCATACGAGAGTACAAAGCTCCATAAAACTTTAGATCTATCACTTTAAACCATAAAGGGACTCTAGGGATCCTTAAAGTTTGCAAATTTAGGGAAGCACACCCTTCCAACAAGCCTAAACATGAAGGATGACACAAAAAAAGCTAGATCTAAGCACATTGAGTCATAAAATTTGGAACTTGAGGACTTACAAAAGTCTAGAAAACATGCACGATGAGGATTGTAAGGCTTGCAAGTTAAGATGATGCACTAATATTTTTTATTTTCTTCTTCTTGGCTAGAAATCACCTAAAAACTCAAAGACTTCAAAAATGAAGCTAGGGTTTGAGTGAGGGAGCAAGGGAGGTGATGTAGGTTGAGGGTGTGCAAACCCTATCCATCACATCCCTTAAATAGGGACGTAAACCCTGTAATTTGGGTTGTCATTAAACAGCTGCCACATAATAGCCATAATGCCGCCAGGCTATAGCACCCATTAAAGATGTATGCATCCTCAAACCATGGTGATGCAGTGGGAGATCATTCCCCACACTGTGGCCACCAAAAATTTCAAACTTTAAACATTAATTTCTTAAATGAACATACAATAAACTTAGTGTTATAATTCTCCCACACTTGAACTAGATTTCATCCTCGAAATCCTCGGTTGAAAATAAATTTGGGTAATGATCACGCGTATGTGGTTCGGGCTCCCAAGTCCACTCGGAACGCTTCCGACGTTGCCACTGCACCTTGACGAAAGGCACCACCTTCTTGCTTAATGCCATTGTCTTCCTATCTAGAATCACCACCGACTTCTCTACAAAATTTAGGCACTCATCGACCTAATTGTCATCTAACGGAACCACCACCAAATCATCAACTATACACTTCTAAAGCTGAGAAACATGGAAGGTGCTATGAATCTGACTAAGATCCTCAGGAAGATCCAATCGACAGGCCATCATGCCTACCCTGGCTAATACTCGAAAGGGTTCGATAAATTCGAAGCCCAACTTGCCCCTATTTCTAAAGCATATCACACCCTTCTAGGGGGGATACCTTCAGCAAAACCATATCCCCAACCAAGAACTCCAACTCAGACCGCCGTCTATCAGCATAACTCTTTTGTTGGATCTAACCTGTTTGTAACCTCTGTTTGGTCTGTTGAATAAGCTATGTCATCTAGAGGACTACCTCAGTCCTCCCCATGATCCTATGGCCTAGCTTTCCCCATAAAATCGGGGTATGACACTTTCTTCCATATAAAAGCTCATACGAAGGTGATCTAATGCTATAATGATAGTTTTTGTTGCACGAAAAGTTACCTAGGGGTAGGTAGGAGTCCCAACTCCCATCGAAATCTTTAACACAAGCCCTCAACATATCCTTAAGCATATGAATGGTCCGCTCACTCTGTGCATCGGTCTGGGGTTGATAAGTAGTGTTGAAATGTAGTCTTGTACCCAACTCCTCATGAATCTCTACACAAACCAACAAGTAAACCATACATCACGATCCAATATGATAGAAGTGGGTACACGATGGCGAGTGACAACCCTACACACATACATGTCAGCCAAAATCTCGGGCGAAGAACTCTCCCGAATGGCAAGAAAATGAGCACTCTTGGTCAGGCGATCAACAATAACCCATATAGCATCAAATCCCTTGGTTATCCTTGGCAATTTGGTGATTTGCTCCCATTTCTACATGGGAACCTCCAAAGGCTGCATCTCTCCATATACCATGCTATCTCCCACTTCATGTATGGCTACCAATAGCTAAGTCTCTCCATATACCACCTGAAATCGGGACCCAAACCCATCCACACTAGGTCATAATCGTGCGACTATCGATGAAAAACTTGTCAATCTGACTCCTGATTCTCTCATTCTTTGAATTCTCCTTCCTTATTTTGTCGGCTT